CAACTTTACCAAAACTCGATTAATGTCAATTCGGAAAGCTGTTTTGTGTTAGTTTTTGCTAGCTTAAAAAACCTGCAAACTAATTTCCAAGTTTAAAAAAATTCCATTTTTGATCAAATTTTGACAATTTTAATGATGTAACCCCTTATCAAATTTTCAAATTTTGGATAAAATTTTAAAAATTTAATTTTCAAGCGGACATGACTAGATCGAATCAGATGTTCATTCTGACCATAAATATATATGGTTTATAGGGTCGGAAATGACTTCTTCACTGCGTTTCAAGCTTCTGACTTAAATTATATTCTTTAAAAAGGCAAAAAAAACAGACAATTTTTTAAAATAATTGGTGTTTTTCAAACATCATAATTAAGCCAAAAATGAATAAAATTCAATGCGGAAAGCTGTTCTGTGCTAGATTTTAAAGCACTAACAAATCTACATATTGCGTTTGTTGGTGATCGTAAAAGATTTTGACCAAAATTAAAATACCCTGAAAAAAGGTATAAAAACAGAAATTTTTTTTAAATAATCAGTGTTTTTCAACCATTATAATTATGCCAAAAATGCATTAATTTCAATTCGGAAAGCTGTTCTGTGCTAGATTTTAAAGCGCTAACAAATCTACATACTCGGTTTTAAGATTTAAAAGTTTCCATTTTTTATCCAATTTTAACAATTTTAATGATGTAACCCCTTATAAAATTTTCAAATTTTGGTCAAAATTTAAAAAATTTAATTTTCAACTAGACATGGCTAGATCGAATCAGCTGTTCATTCTGATCAAGAATATATATGGTTTATAGGGTCAGAAATGATTCCTTCTTTGTAGTTTAAGCTTCTGATTAATACTAATACCCTGAAAAAAAGTATAAAAACAGGAATTTTTTAAAATAATCATTGTTTTTCATACATCATAAATAAGCCAAAAATGCATTAATTTCAATTCGGAAAGCTGTTCTGTGCTAGATTTTAAAGAACTAACAAATCTGCATATTGCGTTTTTTGATGCTGGTAAAAGATTTTGACAAAAATAATAATTCCCTGCAAAAAGGTATAAAAACAGTCAATTTTTTAAATATCCAGTGTTTTCCAAACATCATAATTAAGCCAAAAATGCATTAATTTCAATTCGGAACGCTGTTCTGTGCTAGTTTTTATAGAGCCAACAAATCTGCATACTCGGTTTTAAGATTTAAAAGTTTGCATTTTTTATCCAATTTTGACAATTTTAATGATGTAACCCCTTATAAAATTTTCAAATTTTGGCCAAAATTTAAAAAATTTAATTTTCAACCGGACATGACTAGATCGAATCAGCTGTTTATTCTGATCAAGAATATATATGGTTTATAGGGTCGGAAATGACTCTTTCACTATCTGCAGCCCTCCAAAGTTATAAAAATGTTTAAATATCACAAACTTCCTTCTAATTTATAGTAGAAAGTAAAAAAAAGCTTTAGACTTTTAACAAAATGAAATTCTTCATATGAAAAATTTAAATATGTTTAATAATGCATTTCAAAAACTCAACTTAAGCTTTTGAATATTAAGTTTTTGTTTCCAGTGCCTGTGAATCCATGACTGTAACATGGAGAATGAGTGGTGGGCATGAGCAAGGGGCGTCTCTGGGTGTGGGTGGCATTAAAAAGACGCCAAGTTTATTGCAGGCGACATTTTGTGGTTTATGCACACGTTCCGCAAATAAGGAGAAAGCGTGGGGATTGTTGAGAGAGAGTGAAGCTCGGCAAGACGACGAGTCGAGGGACGAGACGAGGACGACACTTGGCCGCCCGTGTCCTTAGCTTAATGTAATGATTTTATGAATTATAAATGCACACACGTGCACATTATGCACACACGTCTCTCGCTCGCTTACTCTATATCTACCACGCCCATTTCCGCCGCTGCCGCCCACACAATGGCCGGAAAAAGAAAAAGTGAAAACGCATTAAAACTGCGAGTCATTTAAATGTCGAGAGAAAGGTCGTGAGAGTGGGCGTGGGTGGGAGGGGAGGTGGCGTGGCAAAACTATTCTCGGTTCGGGCAACTTTGTAAGCCCTGTTAAGTAGGCTATGAAAAAAAGCGGTTTAAAGAGGCATTATATGAAATGTAATTAGTGCTAAAGCGCAGCTTCAAAGTAACGGAAATGCAGCCGCAGTTTAAGTGTGGCTTTAATAGTTGCTTTATTTATTATGCCTTTTTAATATTAGAGTATATCCTCGGGGCTTAGCAAGGGTAAACCACGAATCTAAAAGCCATAGTACTCGTAATATAAAGCACATTTTGGTAATTCAAACAACAACAAGGTTCGTTCTCTGTTGTTTATACTCCATAAACCTTTTCCAAGTTAATTTGCCTCTGTGCTGCTGTCACTATTGATTTCCTTGCGACACCTGCTAACGCCTGTGCTCCACTTTAGGTTTTCGGAACAAACAGTGGCAACATTGTATATTATTTACCAACAACACCACCACCACACCACTCTGCAACTTTCTACAAATTGCTTAATAACTCGGTCAACAAATTGCGCACACTGTGTGTTGACATTTACGGCCCTCACCTTCCCCGGCTCTCCTCCGCCGCCTCCTCCTCCTCTTCTGCCACTCGAGTTGGACCGAGTCCTTGCAGCCTTGCAGCCATCCAGGGCCACCCCCAACCTGAAACCTGGTTGCAACCCTTTTGCGCAGCTGTTTGTTGCATTAGTTGTTAAATAACTTGATGCGTCCTGGCCGCGTTTATGTGCGGCATTTTCCGCCTCCCCCTTAATTTTATAAATTTGTGCAATTAATTTGGACTTTTCTTTTTGGGTCGAAATGCAACATGGCATCTGATGGATTGGGGTTGGGAATGAATTTATTATGGTCGAAGTTGGAGGCCTGCAGCCGGTTTTAGACTTTCGCTTTTTTGCCGAGTCGCACATTTCCGGCTCATTGCTTGGGAAAACGAGAATTGCACAGAGAGAAAGCAAGAAAAATCCCAAGGATGAGATGCCTGTAAATCCCTCAATGTCTCTCCTCGCATTCCCTTTCGCCTGGGCTCTCTTTTCTCGCCAAACTTTCTCCGCTTAGAGATGGCAAATCAAATGCCAGTGACAGATTACAACATCAATCAAGTTGGCACCGTCTTCCCGCCCAGCTACATCCACTTATTGCTGCCGCCGTCCGCCCCCCATGTATCCTTTTACATATCCTTGCAGTCAGCCTCATGTGTGCGCACCATTAATGCTGTACATTATGGCTTAGGAACTGGGCGTGGTGGGGGGTGGTGAAAGGGGGGCCAGAATGGATGCAGGATAGGAGAAACAAGAGATCCCTGCAAATGCCAAATGGCCAAGTGACTAAAACTAAGCCACACAGCTGCGCCTTGAAGCCAAGGCAATTAAGTTTTACAGGCGCATCAAAATCGCCTCCTCGTCACCGAGTCGCTACCCTCGATTAATTACCAAATGAACGCCGAGTACAGTTGAGCAGTACTACATATATACGATATATATATCTCAGCCAGCTTCGAATTGATGTCCTGCTGAAGGCTGTAAACTGTTAACTGAATTGAAAGTGCGACCATCTTTATGCGCTTTCGATTTTTCCATTTGCAGATTGATTGTCACTCGGGTCTCGGGATTCAGGATGGAGCCATAATGCACTCGTGGGTTTTAGAATGAAAAAACTAGGAGTTGTATTTTTATTATGGTTTATTTTAAAGACTTCTCGTACTTAAATAATATGAAATAATTAAATAATAATACACTGCTATTTAGTTACTATTCAGGTTCCTTGAGATCTTAAAGAAAAATCTTAAACATAGTTACAAATGATTGAATTCTAGATATTTACAAATATGTTCTATGCAAATACTATACTATACTATCTAACAATATATACATCCTACTTTTACTAACTATAAAGTAATACAAAATATAGAATGGAACCTAATTTCGGGAACAAAAAAGATTTTGACAAAAATTATAATAACCTGCAAAAGGTATAAAAACAGACCATTTTTCCGAAAATCATAATTTAAAAAACTCATAACTAAGCCAAAGAATCATAAATTTTAATTCAGAAAGCTGTTCTATGCTAGTTTTTAGTAGATTAACAAAGCTGCATACTCAGTTTTTAAATTTATGAAATTCAATTTTTTGCCAAATTTTGACAATTTTAATGATGTAACCCCTTATAAAATTTTCAAATTTTGGACAAAATTTCAAAAATTTATTTTTTCACTGGACATGGCTAGAACGACTGGGCTGTTCATTCTGATCAAGAATATATATGGTTTATAGGGTCGGAAATGACTTCTTCACTGCGTTTCAAGCTTCTGACTTAAATTATATTCTTCAAAAAGGCAAAAAAAACAGACAATTTTTTAAAATAATTGGTGTTTTACAAACATCATAATTAAGCCAAAAATGAATAAAATTCAATGCGGAAAGCTGTTCTGTGCTAGATTTTAAAGCACTAACAAATCTACATATTGCGTTTGTTGGTGATCGTAAAAGATTTTGACCAAAATTAAAATACCCTGAAAAAAGGTATAAAAACAGGCAATTTTTTTAAATAATCAGTGTTTTTCAACCATTATAATTAAGCTAAAAATGCATTAAATTCAATTCGGAAAGCTGTTCTGTGCTAGTTTTGAAAGGGCTAAAAAATCTGCATACTCGGTTTTAAGATTCAAAAGTTTCCATTTTTTATCAAATTTTGACAATTTTAATGATGTAACCCCTTATAAAATTTTCAATTTTCGGAAAAATTTTAAAAATTTATTTTTCGACCGGACATGGCTAAATCGAATCAGCTGTTCATTCTGATCAAGAATATATATGGTTTATAGGGTCGGAAATGACTCCTTCACCGCGTTTCATGCTCCTGACTTAAATTATAATGCCCTGCAAGGGTATTTTTGTAAAGTCTTTACCCACGTACAATTTAATTAGTAAACTTTAGTAACTCCACATTTAATCATTAAAACAAACCCATTTTCTCTGTTCTTTGCAGGCCTCGCCCTGAACACAAGCTCGTTGTCGGGTCGCCGCGACTCCTTCGACCGCAGCACCTCCGCCTTCAGTCCCTCGGCAATGGACTACACCAGCAGCGGCGTGGCAGCGGCTAATGCGGTGAACAGCTCAGTGGCCCAGGCAGCAGCAGCTGCGGCAGCCGCAGCCGCCGCAGCAGCACGTGGCAAGTGGCCGGGAGCCATGTCGGGAGCGGCTGGTGGTGCTTATGGTGCCCTCGGAGCGGGAGCAGGCAATGCCTCGGCCAGTCCACTGGGCGCTCCGCTCACACCGCCACCGTCGGCACAGTCCTGCCTGCTGGGCAGCCGAGCTCCGGGCGCCGAGTCCCGCCAGCGACAGCAGCAACAGCAGCAGCAGCAACAGCAACTGGCCGCCGTGGGATTGCCGGCAACGGCAGCAGCTGCCCAGGCAGCGGTGGCCGCGGCTGCCAACAACATGTTCGGGTCCAATAGCTCGCTCTTCTCGAATCACCTGGCCATTCCGGGTACCGCAGCAGTGGCAGCGGCAGCAGCAGCAGCAGCGGCCGCCAATTCGCGACAGGTGGCGGCCACGGCAGCAGCAGCAGCGGCCGCAGTGGCAGCCGCAAGCGGTGGAGTAGGTGGTGCACCCCAGCCGGGACGGTCGCGGCTTCTCGAGGACTTCCGCAACCAGCGGTATCCGAATCTCCAGCTGCGCGATCTCGTCAACCACATTGTGGAGTTCTCGCAGGATCAGCATGGCTCGCGGTTCATCCAGCAGAAGTTGGAGCGGGCCACGGCCGCCGAAAAGCAAATGGTATTCAGCGAGATTCTGGGCGCTGCCTACAGCCTGATGACCGACGTCTTTGGCAACTATGTCATCCAGAAGTTCTTCGAGTTTGGCACTCCCGAGCAGAAGAACACGCTGGGCATGCAGGTCAAGGGCCATGTGCTGCAGCTGGCGCTGCAGATGTACGGCTGCCGGGTGATCCAGAAGGCGCTGGAGAGCATTTCGCCGGAGCAGCAGCAGGAGATCGTGCACGAGCTGGACGGTCATGTGCTGAAGTGCGTCAAGGACCAGAACGGCAATCATGTCGTGCAGAAGTGCATCGAGTGCGTGGACCCAGTGGCCTTGCAGTTCATCATCAATGCCTTCAAGGGTCAGGTGTACTCGCTGAGCACCCATCCGTATGGCTGCCGGGTGATCCAGCGCATCCTCGAGCACTGCACCGCCGAACAAACGACGCCTATTTTGGACGAGCTGCACGAGCACACCGAGCAGTTGATACAGGACCAATATGGCAACTATGTCATTCAGCATGTGTTGGGTAAGGCGGATATCCAATCTTTCTCATTCTAAGCATATTTTTCGCTCTTACTAATAAGGAATCTTCTTCCCACTTTACAGAGCACGGCAAGCAGGAGGATAAGTCCATTCTGATCAACAGCGTGCGCGGCAAGGTACTGGTGCTATCGCAACACAAGTTCGCCTCGAACGTGGTGGAGAAGTGTGTGACCCATGCCACTCGTGGCGAACGCACTGGCCTGATCGACGAGGTCTGCACCTTCAATGACAAGTAAGTGAACTTGAATTAAAACCCCCCCACCCTGGAACCCAACTAATGGAATATTTCCTCCCAAACAGTGCCTTGCACGTGATGATGAAGGATCAGTATGCTAACTATGTGGTCCAGAAGATGATCGATGTCTCGGAGCCGACGCAATTGAAGAAGCTGATGACCAAGATCCGGCCACACATGGCCGCCTTGCGCAAGTACACTTACGGCAAGCACATCAATGCCAAGTTGGAGAAGTACTACATGAAGATCACCAATCCCATTTCGGTGGGTACCACCGGCACATCGGGAGCAGCAGGAGCCGGGACAGGTGCCGCAGGAGCTGCAGGAGCAGTGCCCGCTCCCTCGTCAACGGTGTCGGCAGCAGCTGTTAGCAGCAGTGCGACAGCTTCATCAGCAGCCACCACAGCCTGCACCAGCGGCAGCAGCACCACAACCACCAGCACCACCAACAGCCTGGCCTCGCCCACCATCTGCTCGGTGCAGGAGAACGGAACTGGCAGCGCCATGATCGTGGAGCCCTCTTCACCTACCGCCTCCGAGTCCTCATCCTCAGTAGTCTCGGCGGCCGTCAACAGTGGATTGGGTCCCATTGGACCCCCAACCACAGCCAACGGTGTGCTGTAAGGCGGATGAGTTGCGAGAGGAAGTCAGGGGAAGCCGTCGTGCATCCTTCTCGAATGGCAGACTAGGTTTTAGGAGCTTAACAGAGCTAAAGAAGAAGAAGATGCATAAGCTAAACAAGAGTACATTTAATAATAATAATTTATTGAAACAAGCAGCGATCGATCAGCGATGCAGCTGCCCTCGGAGATTTGTAAAGAGAAACACACTCACAAGAAACACACGCCAAGCTATAGAAACAAAAAGGAAAGCGCGCCAAGAGCTGGCATCAGAAGAAAACAAATTTGTATTTTTACGAACAAAAAGTAATAACAACACACACTCACAAACACTCGAAAGAAGATTTCAAAAAATATTTGTACACTGCGCTCGCATGTTTACTTTGTAAAAAAAAAACAAAAACAAAAACAAGAAAGAAATCAAAGATAAAATATTTAAAAAAAGAGAAAAAACAAAGAGCGTGTTCCGAACGCGAATAAAAGAAAAACACAAACGATCGTAAATGTAAAGAAAAGAAAAAATGTCGAAATGTCAGAGAAACAATTTTGTCTGCGTACATTTTCGTTGTAATTTTGTATAAATTAATGATTATATAGCCAGTCTATTTGTAAATGATTCGAGTTTCGACTGTAAATTGATAAGACGAAGACGACGGAAGAGCGAAGAACGGAGGAGAATGTAGAATCTAGAGGAGCGATGGAGAGCGGGCGCCTAGAATTTATTTAAGTGCATAGAGTTGCAGAGAGAGAGGAACCATTTCAAATATATATAAATCGAAGGATAAAACAGCGCGAGCCACACTTAGTGTAGATTGTAGATTAATTCTGTTTATGGAGCCAGCAGCTGCTACCAAAAACAAAAGAGAATACGAGAAACGGAAACGGAAACAAACACACGAGACACGCCCCCTCACACACTCTTCATTCACTCTTGAATACGATGCATACACTTCAGCCCCATTCACGTTGCACTATGTAAAAATTTGTGTATAAACCATGTAAACCATGTAATATTTTCAAAATGTTCTTGTAAAATTTATACATATTGTATTTTGTAAATTTTGTTTGTTTTAAGTCGCAAGTAACTCATACAAACACATATTCTATATCCTATATACCCCGCACGCATGTATTTATAATTTTTTTTAAGCATATTACCATTGCCTGGCCGTGAGTGCCGGTAAAGAAGAACATTTGTTAGTTAAGTAAGATCCTTCAACAGATTACCGAAACTATGATTTGATTTTCCGAACTATAAATGATTTTTACCCGAAACAAAACAAGAAAACAAAGAAACAAGAAGAGAGCAAAAAGAGACCTAAAATATATGCAAAATTCAATAAACCATTATTTTTTCCAAATTTTACAAATCCTATTGGATTTCGGTATTTCTTTTTTTTAACTCTGTATGATATATATGTATAAATATGATTTAATTCGACTTCGACACCTTGTTATATTAGACAGAAAGCGCTTGTTACTGCTCCCCGCGAAGCTTGAAATGCATTCGCTGTGCGGCAAATCTACGAATATATTAATAATGTTATTATTACTACTACTACCCCCACTTTCCCCTCTTCTCACATAAGTGTATAAAATTGTTTTAAAATGTCATTGAAAAACACTTGTAAATTGCAAACAACAAAAATTGTAAATGGTATACATACGAAGCGAACATTGTAAAAAGTAACAAATACCCGAAGAATTTTGTACATTTTTTGATATACATTTTAGACTACTTCGCGACGCCTTATTCCAAATACTAAAAATACTGAAAATACTGAAATACTGAAAATGTAACGAGAAAGAAGAGATGGTGGTAAGAAAAACGAATTTAGACCTTTTTGTCGGTTTCGTCGAAACACACACACACACATAGAAAGATCCATATGTAAAACACACAATTTTTGGATATCCAATGTAAAGTGTATTTATGCATATTTTTGTACACACAATTTCGTTGTCGTGTTGTTGTCGTTGTCGTTGTCGTGTTTTGTATATAACAAGCAAGCAAAGGATACCAGTCATTGAACATTGTAATTTTCTGTACATTTCCCCCATCCGATCATCAGAGAGAGATGCATTATTCATTAACTATCATCCATCATCCATTTTCCATTATCCATTATCCTGTAACCGCATCATCCAGTTGTAGTTAAAGTGAGCGCATTTCAAGCGAACGGCGCGCAAGCAGGGCTCGGTATTATTTGTTTTGTATTTCCTTTTATTATTAGTTATTAACTTGTCAACTGCCTGTCTCTAGAGCGCAATGCACTGATAATTTTAATTTAAATAATCCATAGATGAACATTGTATTTAGGATTCTCTCGATACGTTCGATACGGAATGAACAATGCAAGTAGAGATGCTTTCTGTAGATTAAAGAAACAAAAGAATGTGTTTACATTTGCTACACGCCGTGTACATATGACGTGTAAGATACACACAGGACACCCACACTCTCACACAACACAAACACACACACACACTCACAGCGAGCTGCTTAGCTGTAGAATCCCTATAAATATTTAAACATATATATATAATTAAATATATATATATACACGCGAATAGAGAATATGTAATACACTTAGTTTTGAACTTGACGTTTTTAATGAACATGTATATGTAAACAGTGAAATTTACACGTAAGCTGGCGTCTTCTACACGCGTCCAGTTTTTACCGTAACAATTTTTTGCACGCATGTAAAACACTTGGTTAAAGGATCAAGTTCTTAAAAAAATAAATAAAACTAAAGCGAATCCCATAATAAAAGGAGCAAAAAAAGAAAATGTAACAACAACAATTTTAAACAACAAATGTAAACTCCACACACATGTAAACTTTGTAACGTTGGGCGAAGCGAAAAGCTGAAAGAAAAAACAACAACAAAATATGATATTTGATTTCCTTCGCCAACTCAATTGTAAAAAACAAACAAACAAACAAATTAATGCCCCATTCGAGAAGGGCCTAAAGTAACCAAAATATTTAAAGTAAATATTAACATACCGCGCAGAAGCAGAATTTGTAAAATTTTTTCGAAAACCGAACGATGAGAGATGAAAGAACCCTGTAAACTAAGCTAAGGACATAGCTAAAAACCATACACTAAATAAACCATTTGTAATTTGTTGTAAAAAGAGAGGGCAAACCCGATGAAGGAAGGCTGGAAATTTAAGGGCATGGCAAATGCTAGAGCTGGCGTCAAGTAAAACTATAAATTATATATATTAATGCATATACATATATAAATATAACTATACAGTAAATAATTAATTACGAGAATATTTTGTAGTTACACTCTCACACCCACAAACAAACATATACACCAGAAAGGAAAAAACCGAATCAGAAAAAGGCAAAATGAAACAGAAACAGAAACAGATCGATACCCTTAGTTTTATAACCGGCGAGCAATTGGCACAAGTTATCTAACTTAACATTTGGACAGCATTGCATTCGAGCATTTGATTTAAACTATGCATTAGACTCTTATGTTTATTATTATTATTATCATTATTATTAAACAGGATACGATTAATGCTAATTTCTTTGTGAACAAAAATAAAAAAACAAGTTTATTATGTAGCAAAAATCGCAAACGTTTTATTTCTCAATTCGACCGATTCCGATTGGCACATGGATATTGGTTGGCATATTTATTTCCATTTTTCCCCCGAACATAGACCAAACACATTCCCCAAGTTCAACTTCAACATGTTTCAACAAATTGGCTTCAATAAATGGAAGGCTGCGATGACAACAAATCTGAAATCAAAATTGATATTATACGGCATGCAATTAGCGAGGCATACATAGCATTACATTGAAGATAAACGTATAGATAAATAATATACACTTACCATAACCTATAGCCCCTTCCAAAAACCTAACAAATAAATTACAACACAAATAAATGGCACAACAAAAGTGAGCGCAAGTTTGAGGCATTTTATACGGCGCATTTTTTATATACGAACAGGCTAGCTGTCCTATATATGACGATGATATGTATACCCAAGAAATGATCAACTTTTATAATGAGCAGCCAGTAAGTAAATCAGTAAAGAAATATTTTTTATCAGCCTTGGCAAGCTAAACTTTTACCAGGCCCGTAAATTTTAACAAAATTATACATACTTAACGACAAGATTAAAACCTAAAACTTAATGCCCGATTGACGAAACCAAATACCAAATCGAGAAGAAACGCAAGATCCATACCATACCATTTTCAACTAGTAGAATTTTTCCAAATTGTAGAAATGTAAACCTTTATATAAATAAATATATATATATATATAGTACATAGATTTGTACTTGAGCTCTCCAAGCTCGGGTAGTAATATTTCCATTCGACATAACTCGACACCATAAACTCCTAAGTTGGTCGGTCCTCGTAGCACGACAAAACTAAAGCTGAGCTGCTGCACGCAGTTCATGTAGAAAAGCAGCAATAATAACAAGAAACCAAACTAAAAGTATACAAAAATAGTTAAACTGTATATAGGGAATTCCAAACAGGCAGGCAAAGACCTCTTCAACTGAAAATCTGTCCGTTTAGGTGAGTGGGAGTGGATGGTTATTCTGCAAACGAAATTCTTTAAATGCTTCCGATTTGAGCCATTATTTTACCTATGAAAGGACTCGATCCTTGTCCTATTCGATCGTCCACTTCGCTTCGGGGCAGTAAAGGGTGCCCGCTCTTGACCAATGCTTGAACTCCATTGTATTTTGAACGCCTCTTATACACCTACACCCCCAACTATGCCACATGGAAAGAGCAGAGCAGATCAGGAAGGGATATATATTGAATGAAGTTCATTTCAATTATGAATATTTAACAGAGAAACGCATAACAACTTATTACCCACATATGTACGTACGAAGGATGATGAACATAACTAATGAACAAAACTTGTAACTAAATACTTCTACATATTGAATAAAAAGAATGATATTAAAAACGGAATTGCATTCTTGTGTTATTGAAGAACAACTATAGGGGAATTCTCTTTATATACCATTTATAAATTGATAACTAAACATGTACCTCATAATTTAAATTCTACATAAATGTTTTCATATATCACCATCCAGGTTCTTAGGATCTCAGGTTCTTAGGATCGTCCTTTTCCTTACAGGGCTTTATTTCTGCAAGCTATCCATGTAGTTTTTCACTTTGGTTGCCATACTTTGTCGTTCTTCAACAGTGGCAAAGGAATGTTGCACTGCCTCCAAGGTCAGGGAAACGCATTGATCTCGGGTCAATCCAAACGTCTGCTTAGCCAACAGGAACTCCTGCGTCAATGTAGTATCAAAAACACCACTGTCGTCCGTGCAAATCACTTTCGGAGCATCAGCCTCCATAAGCCGCTTAAGATGATGCTCCTCCAAGCTGTGCACTGTGCCCGACTTAACATTACTCGTTAGGCAGCACTCGATGGGTATATTTCGGCTCTTCAGTAGTTCAATGTCCTCTGGGGTCAGGAAGGTTCCATGGCCGCACCGAGACATACCGAAGTTCAGCATTTCCTTGATCTCCGCTGGATTCTCGATCTCCGCGCAGTGAAGGACCAGCTTTAATCCCTTCTCCCGCGCCAACGACAGTATGGGAACAAAGTCAGAGAACGTTCCCTTACCAGGATTGCCGCTGAGATCGATACCCAAGATCAAATCCGGATGGGACTGGGCAAACTCCAGAGCAAGGGACACAGTTTCCTCCGCTACGGCCACGGGTTCCGCACGATTTATGGAGGGCAATAGCTTAACCAGAATATCGGGATATGTTTTCCTTGCTTCCCCGATCGCATCTATCACATGCTGAAGGTACTCTCTGCGGGTATAGCTTTTATTCGCCTTCGGAGTAGTCCTCAGCTCCACGTACTGCACGTTGTCGCGAGCGAACTCCCGAACCACCAGCTCGGTGGCATAACGCAAGCCCTCCTCCGTGGAGGTCAGCTCGTGGACAAACGCAAACTTCTCAAAGCACGCATCCAAGTCCGAGTCCTTGTCGAATCGGGTGAAACGAGCACACAGCTGGGAAAACTCCTCGGAGGCGGATCCGTACAGCCGCTCGGCAAGTTCACATAGGCTGTCCATGCCCAAAGAACCGTTTAGGTGGGCGTGCAATTCCACTTTGGGAAGTTCTTTCAGAAATTGCAGCATTTCTAATAAAAACAATAAACAATACCCGATCAGCTGCTTTACCGGCTAGTGTTGATGATTCAGCTCTTTTCCGTCCGTAAGATCATCGACTGCAATCTGGCTTCAATTTGGTAATTTTACGTACAATATTGTCAATTTCTGGATTTCAATAACCAGGCGAACAGAAGGCAGTAGATGGGGGATTTACTCTATTGCAAACTTTTATTTTCACTCAATGCAAATATTTTCACGCATTATTTGTACTCATCCCATATACCAGCATCTGCTCATTATTGAGACATAAAAGCTATTTTAAATGAAAAAATAGCTAAATTCTATCGATGGCTATCGATATCACGAATTAACCACCACTAATAAGAAGAAGCAACATTTTGTAAATATAGAATTTTCGCTACAAAAACCATTTGGGAACCTGCCCTGCCATGTCGGACGCCCACTTGGATGCGCCGCCATCAGTGCGACTGACCAACGATGACTTCCGCAAGCTGCTGGCCACGCCCCGAGCTCCGCCTCCTGGGTCTAGTACGAGCAGCACTTCCGGCGGCGGATCTCTGGCCACCGCGACGTTCGCCACACCTTCTACTCCTGCCTTGGCAGGATCGAGTGGAGACAAGAAGAAGGGTCAAAGCAGCAGCGAGCGGAACGACCTTCGGCGGAAGAAAAAAAACTTCTACGCGGCGCTGAAGAAGCAGGAGGATGTGAAGCTCCAGGAGCTGTCTGAGAAGTATAGGGACAGAGCGCGCGAGCGTCGAGATGGTGCCAATCCGGATTACGTGAACGTAAGCACTCCGGGGCACGGCAGCAGCACGAACGCCTACCGAGCCGTCGCTCCGGATATGAAGTCAGGAATAGACGCTGCCGAACGCCGACGGCGAATCATCCAGGAATCGAAGTTCTTGGGCGGTGACATCCAGCACACGCATTTGGTGAAGGGTCTCGATTACGCCCTGCTGCAGAAGGTGCGCTCGGAGCTGCACTCCAAAGAGGCAGAGGAGGAGGAGATAGCCGCCGCCGTGGCCAGGGAGAAGCTGGCTGAGGCAGCCGCTGCAGCCGAACAGCTCGAAGCAGAGCGCCGTGAGTCGGAGGACATCAATGCCATCAACGGAGCCCTAGCCCGCAACATATACAACCTGATCCAAGCACGGCGATCAAAGGAGGTGCCCCGCAATGAGCTGTTTGCGCCTGGACGTATGGCCTACGTCATCGATCTGGATGACGAGCTGGGCGAATCGGACATCCCAACGACACTGAAACGCTCCAAGTTCGAGGTGCCAGTGGCGCGTGAGGATGTGGCCACGCTAACCACTAATGACATTGTCATCAACAAACTGTCCCAGATCCTGAGCTACTTGAGGGCCGGTGGTCGCAACAAAAAGAACAAGAAGCGCGACAAGGACAAGCCGCTTTTCTACGACAAGGAGATGGAGAATGCCCGGGGACCGACCAGCGGTGGTGGAGGCATAAGTAGCATCACCACCTCGTCTGGCAATAAGGGCGGAAAAACCGTTCCTCTGGGGGACAATATCTACGACGATATTGGGGACTACCAGCCAACAGCCTCACGAGGAGATCGAAACCGTCAGGACGCTGGAAAACCCGCCAACTCATACTTTGGCGAGGGTCCTCCCGAGGCCGCAGAGGAACCCATGGTTACCAGTATACCTCCGCCACCGAAAATATCGAAGGCTATGGCCTCGCGTTTCGCTAACGAACCCGAGGGTTATGCCGAATGTTATCCTGGGCTAGAGGAGATGAACGACGCCATCGACGACTCGGATGACGAGGTTGACTATACCAAGATGGATCTGGGTAACAAAAAGGGACCGATTGGGCGCTGGGACTTCGACACACAAGAGGAATACTCAGACTACATGAGCACCAAGGAGGCCCTGCCAAAAGCCGCCTTTCAGTATGGCGTCAAGATGCAGGACGGACGGAAGACGCGCAAGAACAAGACGGAGAAGAACGAGAAGGCCGAGTTGGACAGAGAGTGGCAGAAGATTCAGGTAAGCAATCAGATTTATTGATTCTATCAGATCAGGGTTGAATCTTTACTTTATTCCAGACCATCATACAAAAGAGGAAGCTGCCCAAGGATGGCGGGGGTGGTGGCGGTGGTAGCAGCGGTGGAGGAGGCGATGAACCCGATTACAAATCCGCGAAATACTAGAATAATTCTTTAAACCTTATACTATATTTTGCAATTTCGTAATTCTGTAAAACATTAATTAATATTTATGCTCTCTCTTACACCATTCGAACCCATTGATTTTTAATTTAATAAACATTGCATGGCGGGAAATGATCGACTATTTCAACTCGACTTCAAATTTTGTTTCTTTTGTTGCTGTAAATTGTTGTAGCCAAAAAGCAACCTTCAATTTGGTCATCTACAGTACAAAATTGTCAATTTCTGGATTTAAAGTACCAGGCGAACAGAAGGCAGTAGATGGAGGATTTACTCTAGTGCAAACTTTCATTTTCACTCAATGCCAATATTTTCACTCATTGTTTCCACTCATCCTAAAGATCGACTCATTATTGAGACAACATAGCTATTTTTAATGGAAAAATAGCTAAATTCTATCGATGGTTATCGATATCACGAAGTAACCACCACTAATAAGAAGCAACATTTTGTAAATATAAAATTTTCGCCACAAAAACCATTTTGGAACGTGCCCCACCATGTCGGACGCCCACTTGGATGCGCCGCTATTATTGGTAAGCAATACCATGTATTGATTCCATCAGATAAGGATGGCGGTGGTCGCATCGGCGGAGGAGACGATGAACCGGATTACAATTTCGCAAAATACTAGAATTGTTCTTGAAACATTATACTATATTTTGCAATGTTGTAATTATGTAAAACATTAATATATATTTATGCATTTACTTGCATAATTCTTACACACTCTCAATTATATATATAGATTTTAGCCACGTTATCACTATTTTTTAACAGCTACTGGAGCGGAGGATGTAGGATGGGATGGGTTCGGCTGACTTAACGACTGTATGTGCGGTATTAGCGCTCCGGCAGTGCGAGTCGGAACTGTATGGCGAAAGTGCTGCAAGGTTGCTAATTTAAATTGCATCAAGATTAAGGCCAAATTTGTGTCAATTTTTAAAGGATTGCCAAGGCTCTTATCGTTCCGAAACGCACTGCTCTTCTGTCTGTGATACTTGGATGCTGTGCTGCGAGCTGAATCTACTTAAGCTGGATGTGGTTGGGTTGTGTGCACCTAGTGCGGCTCTCCCTCCAACTCTGCCAGCTTACTTACATATATGACACTGATTAAATGTAGCTACTATCGTCGCGGGAATGCTAATCTTAATCACTACGCTAGATCCGAGAGTTTAGGGTATGGGCGTTACCTCGAAAAAAACGGTGCTACTGCTACCATCTATGTACCTTCGGAAAAACCGAAGCTCAGCCCTTTGCACTGCCTCGAAACAAGTGGAGGATTTGGTAAGAAAGAACTGAATGTATAATGTGAAGTGTATAATTGTAGAAATACTAATAAAAATTGCATTTGAAACCACTAACAATATTATTTGCACTTTTGAAGATGTCCTTTCTTGTAAAAGGGAAATTTTAATCTTACAAAAATATGAAGCATCACATTTTATGCAATTAGGATTGATTGGAATGCACTATAGCGCACAATCACAATGAAAATATTTAGAATGGCCATTGATCAAAAATTTGAAACCAGAATGCAGTTCAATGCAATACCATGAGCGGTGCCGCCAAGCACCACTCGTCATTGGCCGGCAATTTATAAAAAAAAAGCGGACAAACATACTGAAGCGGACATCCAATCCAGCAGCTAATATATGGTGAAATTATACAAGGTGCTAGCATCAGGCTTTTTGAGGACAATAATTCTCTCCACAGCTGTTCTCGCGATGAGATCACCTTATATAGTTGCACCATGAGCTAAGCATTTAGGAACAACCTCTAGCAATGCAATGGGCTCGACGACGCTCTTTGGCTTGCAATCGGGCGTGGAATCGTGGGTCTTAGATTCGAGGATTGGGTCTTAAAAAGAATTATCCTGTCCTAATGCGTAACATTAACTTTAAAAGGGCCTACCCGCCCTCGTCTGCCAGTTGCTCAGTCGTGGTGCCAGCTCCTGGCCATTGTCGTTGAGGTGCGGCGCCTGCGCTCCACCAACTTGATATCCCTGACGCAAAGATCGTGCTTGGAGTTGCTTGCGAAACGGATAACCGACTGGGTGCTCACTTGAGGCACGTGGCGTAGGTCCAGCCATATGAGACCCTCGCACTTGGCCAGATGCTCCAAGGCGTTCTCCGACACCAGGCGGCAGGCGCTTAGATTGAGTTCTGTGAGTCGCGCAATGGCCGTGGTTGAGGTGCCAATTTGTGCCACGCCTGCATCCGTGATCCGCTGGCAAGAGGACAGATCCAAATGTCGCAAGTGTGGCAAGCTCTGGGTGATGTAGCGCACAGCAACATCGGATATATCGGTTCCCGCTAGCTTTAGCACCTTGAGATCCCTTAGCCGGGTCTTCGAGTCGCTCAGTCCCGGTCGCGAATCTTTGGGTGGCGAGAGAATGTCTCTTACGGCGGCGTCATTCAATCCCCTCACGAAACTCAGATCCAACGTCTGTAGCGGCGGACAGAGGCAGGTGTGCAACGCCAACACTGCCTGGATGGGGCAGTTCTGCAGCGAGAGATTCTTAAGCGCAGGCAGGCGAGCTACCAGCCAGGCCAGTTGTCGCTTGGCAATCTGCGTCCAGTCCAAGATCAAGTGCTCTGGCTGGCGACGAACAATAGCGGTCAGGAGTGACGCAGACATCTTGTGCTCCGAACAGTTCATATTTTTCCACAAATCGGGATCGACGGCGGCGTTGGACCACACCTTGCACACCGAGCAGCATGTGACGAGCGTTTCCTGTGGCAGGTAGCGGAAGATGATCTTCAACACGGTAGGATCCAGTGCCAGATTCTGGCCAGAGCTGTGATGCTGATTTCCTAGGCCGTTGTTTGAGCTGAATCCTCCGTTATTAGTGGCGCGCTCTCCATTGCCACTGGAGTTGGCTCCGCCTTGGTTGCCTCCATTGCTCATTCCATTAGTGCCGGATGCACCGCCAGATCCTCCGCCGTTGCCACTGGCTGAAGCAGAGCCGGACCCTCCTCCTGCTGGTCGCACGACGTACTGTGGCTTTTTAAGCACGCGAGACGACGAGTTCAACATCTGCTGGGCGAGCTGTGAGCGTATCGAGTTTTTCTTCCGCGAACCACCACCGCCCCCGCTGCTGCCACTCCACTGATTGTTGGTTGCATTAGCATTGGCACCTCCACCAGCGCCTCCTCCATCTACCGAGGAGTTGCATGGGGCATCGTTGCTCTCGTGCATACTACTGCTCACGCTTGTGCCATCGTCGCTCTTGCGCCGCTTTCCTACTTTGGACTCGCCGCCGCCTACGGCATTCGGTGAGATTCCCGGTGATGGAGTGTCACAGCTGTTATTGCGCTCCGTTTTCACCTCCAGCTGATGGTGGCGCTTCAATCCGTGCTTCCAGTGCGTCATATGACCGCCGGCTGCTGTCCCCGCTGACTCCATTTCTGACTCACTGGTAAAGACAAAGTCATTGTACTGGCCCACCGGAGGCGGTAGCAAAGGCGTTCCCTCCTGGTGACCGCCTTCACCGACTGCTCCACCGGGACCATGAGATATAGAGACACGGCGGACCTCAGAGGACTTTTGACGGGCGCGGAAATGACGAGGCTGTCGGAGACAAAAAAGATTAGTTATTGTTGTTTTGGAAAACCGATGTTGGTGGCTACCTTATAGTCGTAATTCTTTCCGGAACGACAGCAACTGGGGCACTCCCAGCTATTGGGCAGGTCCTCGTTCACAATACCCTTGGCATCCGCCGCGTCCTCAGTGCCGTCTAGCTGAGACAAGGCACAATCTGGATGCGCGATCTCGTAGCAAACGGAGCACTCCATCAGTGCCGATGGTCCATCGATGGTGGCCAGCTGTTTGGTCTGCGGCGACACTGGCGTTTGTCGCCAACCATCCAGATGGCAGTAAACGCACTGTGCCGTGACCGGCAGCATTGGCGACAGACACTGGCGCATCATACACGTCTGCTTGGCCCGCCCCGGGCCACCGAACTTGACCATGTCCATGCAAAAGGGACAGGTGCCGCAATCGGAGCGCTGGCAGGCGGCGCAGTTCTTACAGCGCGTCCGACGCCTGCGGGGTTGGCCGGTGCCGGTTAGATTGGGTGATAGCTTGGCCCCACCCTCTCCTGGGGATGGGCAGTTATCCAGGCTGGCTGTCCCTCCACCATCACTGAAGCTGGAGCAGGTGGCAATCACACTGATGGCTCCGCTGCCTGTACCAGCTGCAGGTGCCACTCCTCCTCCGTTTGTTGGACTATGGCTACTTCCCACAATAGCAGAGCCGCCGCCTAATCCTGGAACATTCCCACCGGATCCACCACTGCTGCCACCAATACTATTGCTACTGCTACTGGCTGCAGCGGCCACAGCATTGGCCAGATGCATCTTTTTGGGCGGACGATACTTAAGCGTATCCGTAGGCAGGACAAAGGTGGCCTCTGTAAGATAAAATAATGTTAAGTTTTGCACCCAAATGGGACTATATCTTAAAACCCACCTGGCTGTGACCCATTGCCTGCGACAGCTGCTGACGCAGTGCCGTTTTCCAGCTGCTGCTCTTTCTTCATCACTCCATTGCTGTACTCAATGCCAGCACCCATGCCGATGACCGATCCTGCTCCCGTCGACTGCGATGCATCAGACTCGGCCTCCCTGGCCCTGCCAGCCTCCAGCTGCTGCTGCTCGCGTATCACCTCGGCATTCTTGCGCGCGATCTCCTGCTTGATCTCTTGCTTGACACGAGTGCGATCATACAGCAGAAAGGGCGGATGCGAGCCGGACGGGGCTTTTAGCACGGAGATGCCTGTGATGGCGAGATCTTGCTGATCCTTGCAGTGCCGCTCCACCAGCGATCGAACATCCTTGATCAGTGCCACGGGATCCAGGACCAAGCTGGGCACATTTTTCTTTTGCGGCGGCAAGTCGTACAGATACATTACGATTTCCTTAAGCCCAAAGAGCTCGTGATGCGTAAGGTGGGTGTGCGGACGAGCTGCCATTTCCTCCTCGTTCATCGAAGGCTCCCCGGTAAGGTGTGAGTGTCCCAGAAGCGTATGAACGTAGCGAGCGAGGACGTACCAGAGCATCTCTGTGAAGAAGGGGTAGCGGAACTTTTGTGGCACCTTCGTACTATCCTCCACACTGGCCGTTTTCAGTTGCTTAACAATCCCAAACGAGTGCAGGAAATTCCCGCCAAAGACGAGCGACTGGGTGGGGGTATAGACTGCATGAATCCATCCGGTGGGTATGAAGAAGGTATTCCCGGCGGTGAGATATACACGAGCACACTTCTCCACGGTGTCGCCGAAAAAGACATCCGCCTGTTTGCCAGATAGAACCCACTTTTCGTACAGTTGCAGGTTGCGATCCGTGGGCGGTATCAGCCAAAAAACCTTGCTGCCACGCAGAATATGATACCACACCGAAGTGCCGCCAAAGTCGATGTGGAAGTCCGTGTAGCAGTTCTGCACCGACATCAGGCAATACTTCTGCACCTTGGGGTACATCATGCCGCCCAGCAGGTTGGTGCCCTCCCGCTGGGCGTCCTTCAGCTGCTTTGGCCATACCACGTCCACCCAGTCGATCTGGCGCACGATCTCAGGGCTCTGGACGAACCTATCCAGGCGTGTGTGCGAGAACTCCAACGAGATCACATTGAGCAGTCGATCCTTCTGCGGACTGTCGTAGTACTGCTGCCACTCCTTCATCGTCATCTGCAGGTTTTTCTGCGTATTGACGTCCATCACATCCAGTAGTCGCCGGGAGCCTACACACAGCCGTACATCGTTCACTGTGAACTCGTTCGGATCAGGCATCCGCAAGCCCAGTCCGGCCTTGTCCCGGAACAGCAGAGGTATGTTGAAGCCGTGCTGCTGCAGGAATCTGAATCAGGAATCTTCGACAATTAGGAAGCTGTAGTTATACCAAATAAACTGCCAGATACTTACGCCACGGTGAGATCGCTGCCCCGCATCTCCCGCACCATTCCAGCCTGTGCGAATTTCGAGGACTCCAGCTTCTCGGCGACGCTAAAGCCCCGCGTTCCTTCGCCGTCATCATCACCCAGCGACCATTCATCTAGGTAAAGCTTGCGTTGCTTCCGCTCTCGCTGCAAAAAGAGATAAGAAGTAAAGGGTTGTTGAAAAAATATAGAAATATTAATTAATTTATTTTTTTAATTATATTTTAATATGGTGAAATTTGTTTGATTTTATCCATTTTTTATATTATCAATGTTAGTATAAATGTTTTGAAACACTTGCTGTTATTTTAAATTTTACATCTTACGTCAGATAACCATTCTACACGTTTACAGATACATTGTTACATTCCATTGATACATTCCAGTTTTTATACGCACGCAAGAGTGTCACAAATTGACCATTTGGGTAACTTATGCAGCAAGTAGTTTGACTGGGGTTGTTAAAAATATATTTAGATATTTTAAAATTATATTTTATATTATTATTATTATTATTATTGAGCTTATGGATTTCAGAGAGGAAAGATAGCTAAACTGACAGCACTGAGTCGGATACGAAGAGCGGAAAGAGCAGCAGTGAGCAAACTGATGAATGCCTAAAAATACACCGCTTCCACAGAGGGCGCTGCCTGTGCCTCTGCCAGCAGCGCTGTGATTCACATGCTTCTCTCTTCACCACAGTCATTAAGTGACTCTCCCGCTGTAGTCTTCACTTTCTCTCATCGCTTATGGAACGCTCTCTCGGCTTTGTCATTTCGTTTTCATTTGCTTGTGTTAGAGATGGAACACTTTTTTAAAATAGAATGCAGTGATTTTCTTTCTGTAATGAATAATATTGTATTTACAAAAAAAATAAAAAAAATTCAAAACCTTTCTTAAGTTATATATACAAAATATAGATTTTTCGATATATATAATTTAACCATTATCCATATTTATGCCTTGTGTAATATTAAAAAGATGTGTTAGCTGTTTGGAACTCAGCTCCCTTTCTAAACAAAGACACTGAGCTTATTAATTTACTATCAATCCCGATTGATTGATTAAACACCTGGTAGGCTGAAATCGGTAAAATCTGGTGCCACTAGAAGCTCATTATCGCTTAATACAGGGAGAGAGACAGAGATTAGGAGTCAAACAAACTAAAGAGAGCCACTAAGCGAGAGAGCGAGCACACAGAAATCTATTTAAGCAACATGCTACTAAGATCACTTATTTTACTTTACTAATTTTATTCGCGCCGCTTGTGCGTTCGCTTTGAATGCTAAATAAAAAATTACGTCAAAATATTGTGTATATTTGATATATTTCCCAAAACAATATTCGGGCAACGCATAATACTTAGGCATTTAGACTCGATATTTGTATTGGCTTTGATATTTAAAAATTTCCCTGACTCTAAGAACCGTTGATGATAAGTTGGGACCGAAAATCTTATTGTTTCCTCATCTGATTTGAATTTCATGGTTTCCAGCAGCTTCCGCGGCTTTTATAACTTGGCAACAATAATGTCGTTTCAGCCATTTCCTTGAAAGGTCTAAAATTTCAAAGTTTTAGGAGAGTTTCTTTGATTTGGATGGAGAGTTTTTATAGAACTAGCTTGACTATATCAGCTTGACTTTTATATCTATACAAATTTACTGTTTACAGGATTATTGCAATTAATAAACTATCTTAGCCAACAAGTGTTTACGTCCGAAATGCTTAAGTCTTTTTCCTACTTAAAAATCTAACTCCAGAATTGTCAAATAGATAACCCAGTCCAAATATTAATCATAATAATAATTAATAGAAAATCCAAATATTCTAAAAACCAAATCAACCAAGATTAAGGTGATTTAATTGGAAATAGCTGCAATCAAATTAAAATATTTGAATTAATTTTCTGTTGAAGCTTTTTTGTACCCAGGTTTCATTAAAATATTTTTAAAAAATCACAAGAAATACTTCTAAACATCAACAAAAAATGTTGAGGCTTATTTTAACTAAAAGTTGACAACACCGGTTGGCAAGGGGCAACGGGAATCAAGCTGTCCACCACAGGCGGCTCCCCTCTTTCTCTTTCTGCTTATATCGCCATCTCCCTTTAGTGCGCATGCACTTTGCATATGAAGGACCGTTTTGTTTTCGCTATTTTTTTTATTTTTGTGCCTTATGCATTGGTGGTAGTGCATTGCGCCGGCAGAGAAGCGAATCTGAGAGCTTGAGATGGCAAACTGAGAGATTGCCAGATTGAGAGAGACTGTTGCTCCAAGGAGGTGGGGGGCTAGCAGACAACAAATACGGTGCATTATTATGTCTCCTGCTTTGAGTTTATTTTGGACGCTGCCTGCCAGTGGTGGCGCAAATTGGGGAGGGTGGAGAGGTGGCCGACGGCAATGCAACGAAAAATCTATAAACTTGGATGCGCGGCCTGCCCTCGTTTGTGCTTGTGTTGGGTGGCTTGCCTGTATCCCCATATCCGTATCCGTATCTGTATCTGTATCTGCATCTGCATCTGTGCGAGTGTGCGTGCTGCCATATCCTTTTTAAGCGGCTTGCCCCACAGAAATGTTGAAACTTGTTTGCATGTTCTAAACCGATTTTTTTTACCGACTTTTCATTGTGGCCACGCTGCCTGTTGTTGTAGTTGGCTGGAAAGCTTGTTTTGGTGTCTCGTCGATTAACAATCGCAGGTAGAAGTAGATGACGATGAAGCAGAGAGAGAGGAAACAACAAGCCTAAACCGCATACAGTTCTCCTCCGTTTTTTGAATTTTACTTTAATTTAAAAATAACTAAAGGGCTACTTTAGCTTTAGGAAACTTTTATTAATTTAGTTCTTAAATCCCACCAATAAACTCTTTACTGACTTAAACTTAATGATTTCGTCTTATAGAGGTTTGCCTGTAAAAATTGCGTGTAAAACAGAAGAAACCAAAAATCCAAATCCAGTCAAGTGGTTTCATATTGTTGTTAGTTTGCGGTGGTGGCGTCACCTTCGCCCCACCACCCCCCCTCTAACCCAATTCAACGTCAATTGGCCACCTGGGCAACCTAATGTATTCTATTTAAGGTGCTAATTGCAAAGACCCTTATCTACCATGTGCTCGGTGCTACTGCCTTGCTTTTCCCACCGGCTTCATCAGTAATCTTTGAGCCGTGTTGGGTTAGTCATCGTAATAAGAGTCTCCATTCCACTCGCTATTCCACTATTCCATACATTTTTAATGGGCCCTCGCTCTTTAGCGCTCTTCTTTCCCCTTCTCAAATATGCATAGATAAACTGAAAGATATGTTTGTTTTTAAGACTGACTAATAAATACTCTCCTCTGTGATTTATCGGACATGACTCCTCCACTAAGTGGCAAGATTCTGAATAAAATTATAATACACTGAGGGGCATTAAAAGAAAAGGAAGCAAGGTCAGCAAGTTTGAATGCTAATGATGATGATAGATTATTTTTACATAAATATACCCTGCACTTACAGGGTATTAGATTCTCATAACAAGAGGAAGGAAAACAGGATTCCGGCGACAAGTGCCAGGCGGGAATTCGTCGTCATTACCGTCTTCCAATTATCATTAAGCGAACGCAGCGCAAACGGAACGGAAAGCAACGAGCGCCAACAGCTGCTGATCCAATTTTCGGTGCTAATCAAATGCGCAGCCAACAAAAATGTGAACGTGAACTTTGCGAGTTGGCCAAAGATATGAGAAATCAGTGAGGCAGCAGCGACCGACCAGCCGACAAACCCCCCTCCGCCTACGCCCACCTCGTGTAGCAGTGGCAACGTCAGCATACTCTCATTCTCTCGCTCTTCCTCTCTTCGTATGTAAATATATGTTGGGCAACAACAACGGCAACACAATGCCCTGTTATCTACGACGATACGGAATAGAAACCGAAGCAGCAACACACCACAGCAGCACACGCACACACACATCACCCGCGCACACACACCAATGGCAAATTGAAAACGAAATGCGAGGCAGCCGACAACAACAATGGCAATAACAACGGCGGCGAGAAGAAGAGAATAACAAACAGCCAAGCGAATATGGCAAATAAAGCTCATTGCTTTCGGTCATGCGGCCCCCAGTTGAGCTTCAATGCTCAACTGGCGCAAAGTAGGAGGCGGAAGAGCCAGGGGGACAGAGCGGAGGCGACGGTGGGGCATGCATTTATTATTTCCACCGATTAACGATGAGTTTACGTTTGCTTCCACAAGCGTTTACTATTATCTTGCCGCTCTCTTACCTAAAGATTCATCAACAAATAGGCTCGGCCAACTTATCAATCATGGCGACAGGTGAACTCCCTATAGACGCCGGTTTATCGGTTACGGAATATGTATTTAAATGCAAGTAATATAGACCTCTTCAAGTACAACAATTTAGTAAGAAATTAAAACTTTAAACCCTAAGATCGAAGTCGAGCTGTAAAAACTACCCTTCTAACAACCAAGGCAAAATGTGCACGCAATGGAAATCGAAAATAGTCCCCGTGACATGTACGTTTAATTTTTGTAATCACAATCTCTTGTTACAATCGAATTGTATTATTTCCCATGGAATAGGCATATCAATTTAGGCATAATCACTTAATTTCTTGAGATTTAGTTACACACTTTGAAAAGTAAGCCGAAGGCAAGCTTCACTGTAGCTGCAGAGGGGGCTTTATCGGTTATTGATAGTGTACAAGCGAGGGAGGGGAAATGGATAATTGACTGAGCGCGGAGTAAGGGGTTAGTACTCACCAGTTGACGCCGTTGCACGCCTTTTGCATTTGGACTGGGATTGCCATTGCCGCTGCTGTTGCTGCCGCTATTATTGTTGTTGTTGTTGCTCTTGGCAGGCGACGACCCCGTTTCAACGGCGGTGGACATCGCTGCCTCTGAATGTTTGTGTGCGATTCTCTTTTTCTCTGTTCGGTTCCACTCGACGGAATCGCTCTATCGGCCAGGCTCCAAGCTGCAAATCACAAAATCACGCGTTTAGGTCGGTTTCCATGCAGAATTCATTGCATTCGCGGCACAAGCAGAAACAGAAACAACTAATTACGCTTATTACTTCACACAAATTGAACGGCCAGGCACAAACACACGCACAAACACACTCCCACGACGCGACTGCGGAGGTAAGTAAAACATCGATGAAAACATCGATGCATCGATGTTTTTCGAATTTTCTAAGTCATCGATGTTTCTTTCCACCAACAATAAAATTTAAAATTTAAATAATTCGGAAAATGAGCTGTCGTGCGTCGGCGATATTTGAAACTATACTGCCTGCTTTTACTTATTGCATGCATTCAGATGTTTTTTGCGATACTTTTAATATAGGGAAGTATCGATAAAAGTCTTTGCACAGAACACGAGGCGAGCAGAATGAGCGAGAGCGAGAAAGAGAGCAGGGCGAGGTGAGTACTACTCAGCTGCTCTCTGTCTCTCAACGTGATGTTTTGCCACTCAACATCCAACAAAATGACAAAAAAAAAAGGGGAAAGAAGAAAAACGCCGAGGATGAACGCTCCACGTATATTTCGCCACTTTCCCATGAACTTGTAAAAAGCATTCTAAATTTGCACTTTGACGATTTTGCTCGAGTATCTAGTTTTTGTCAGATTTTCACTCGTGGTGGAAATTCTGCTCCGCCTCGCTTTTGTTCTCTGAATGACAATTTTTTTCGCGTTGCGCCATGTAGTAAATTTTAAATTTAATTAATGCGTATGCACACTGGCCGAACACACACTCACACTCATTAGAATTACGAAATTAACATTTAATTTCGTGGCTTCCGTTCGCCAACCAAAAATCACTTTTAAACGATGCGATTTTCTCCGTACGCGAGTTGGAAAAATCCGGCGAATCCCGCAGCGTTGTTATTTTTAAGAGTTGTAGGGTCACTGTTGCCAGTTTAGCTTACTTAGGCTATATCTGGCTTATTTGAAAATGGAAAAGCTTATAAATTTCCAACTAGCTTATTGCCACTTGCTGATTGGTTTTTGTCGTTTTATTTGTACATTTTTGGGGTACTTGCGCGGACAACGGTAAAAATTTGAGAACAGGAGAGCAACAAATCAACTTAATTTGTATCCTAAACATACAAAGACAGCTGCACCCGGGAATCTTTCGGATAGTACTACCTGGTCGAAATCGAGGGCCAAGAGTCACGTCACGCAGCGAAACAAACACCAAATTCGGAGCGAGGTATCTGACAGACCGAACCGAAACTGCACGCGTTCGAAGTGTGTTTATATCTGTATCTGCGCTGTTCGAAGTAGTTGGTGGGGTTCTGTTGGCTCTTTATCAGTGTTGCCGGTTTAGCATACTTCAGGCTGTAACTAGCCTATTTGACAATGAAAAATTTTATGAAATTTAAACTAGCTCAAAGCCTTTAAAATAGCTTATTTTAATAATTACCTAGCATATTCGATTATATATTATACAGATAAATATAGGGCTTTCTGTTTTAATAATTACATTTTTGATGTTTTGGAGTTGAAAACAATGTGTGGACGAGACTACCTACAATTTTTGTATCATGGCTTGGCTGTTTTTTGGCTAGATCTAGCCTTTTCCTAGATGTTAAAATAACTGGTGCCGTGTTGACATCTGGTCACACTGTTTGCGCAGAGTTATTCGTTAAAAGTAAATAAATATAAAACTTCATCAAACCAGTCAACTTTTGATGAAGGTACTCAATTGTGACACCAACAAAATGGTTGCTGCAAATTAAAAAAATTAATCCAGAGTATCCGCTGATATACAAAATTAAACAATTAAAAGGAAGATAATGGGATCATCGCATAATTTCTTTAAATCCTTTAAATTCAGTTGACAGAACACACTTCACGAAACAAGGTGCGGATTGGATGACATACATCTATCTATTTTCAATATTAATACAAAATAAGGTAAAGAGCATTGAGTATTCCATTGTATGCTATCAACTTGCTCTTTCGGATATAATATACGGACATAAAAATCTACATGGTTTACGCGCTAACTTACGTTGCTTATGACTATTGCTGCTACAGGTCTTCGTCCATGTGCTCATCAGACTTGTTTAGGTTCACGCTGCACGTGTTGTTGTTCTCAAAGAACTCTAGATCGTCGTCGTAGTCGTCGAGCTCCTGCTGGTTGGGATTGACCATCGATACCGCCGCTGGCAGCTGTTGATTCTGTGGCACCGTCGGAATCTTGGCCATCTCTGGCAGCGGCAACTGCAGGGGCGATGGCTGCCAGGGCACCAAGGCGGTGCAGGGACGTGGTATGGTCTTAATCAGCCATTCCGGTGGGATGACTGGCGGTCCGGTGGCTCCGGGCCCTGTTCCCGGCTTGAGGCCGTCACAGATCACAATGCGATTCGCGTTGCGCAGCTTCTGCTCCAATTCCATGGCCGCCATTTGGTAAGCGGGGTTCGGGTGATGTGTTTTTCCTGTGCTCGTGGACGGAATATCATCCGTGGCAAGTCCACCGGTAACGGCGGCTACGCTGTTGTTATTGGTGCTTCCCACCACCGAAGCCGTCGCACTCTTCGGATCTCCAGAGATCTGTAGGCCACTGAAATGCTGGGTGATGCGTTCCTCTGTAATCAGCATTTTAGGAGGGCTATACGGTGACGGGATTAGTTACTAGGATTGAAGGGATTCAAGGAATCTATGGCCTTACAGAACGGCTGTTGCCTGTTGCTCCGACTTTCTTTTGTGCTGCCACTTCCCGCACTCGTTCTCCGCAAGAGTCGGATTCCCATAGCCGTGCTGTAAAAATCCGGCGAAATCCGCAGCGTCCTTGTTTTTGGGAATATATTTTTTCCTTGCACCGTTCAACCTCATACTTATGCAGTGTAACCAGTTTAGTCTTAATTCAGCTAAAGATAAAGGTGCGAGTGAGACTCTGGCTATTTTACGACTAGATTTAGACTTTTTTCAAGATGTGAAAAGTAACTGGCTAGAAATATAATTTTACACCATAAAAATATTAAATAAAACTAAAAAAAAGGTTGTAATTCCTTTTTAAGCATGGTACAAACAAAGATAAATCCGCTTGACGAATGTAGGTAGCAAAATAGCTATATATTTAGCTAGATACTGTGACCACTGTGACGAAAGAAATTGAAGAAATGACGTGAAAATAGTCGCATTAACAGCAGAAACCAGTTGTTTTTTGTAGACAAACTTTTTATTTTAATAAAAAAAAAAAAAAAAAAAAGCTAAAGTGACAGCCTTTGTTCCAGTGAACATCAGGGCCTTATATTTGTTTTCTTTGGTGTGGCCGGCCAATGCTTTTTGTTTTTAGTATTTTTCAGTATTTAAGTTGCACTAAACAGTGCTGGAAACCTTTTTAAAATGTGCTAACTTCGAAACTCACTAAAAACACCAAAATAGAATGCATAAAAAGCGCAGCAGCCCGCCGCTTTTAAATATTAAAACGCATCAAGTGACCGTGCTAAGTGCTTTAAAACCTTAAATTCAAAATTATAAATTATAAACGTACAGTGCCGTACAGTAGTGAAAAAAGTAATAATATAGTACAGCTTTTCAACAATTTAAGTGACAGAAAAAATATATTTCCATAAAAATGCGATTCACAAGGTGAGTTTATTTCTCATCTCCTTTATTTTATCAATATGTTTGTAACATTTAAATAGGTAATAGTTTAAGCCATGAACTTGGAGAACATCCATATATAGAGGTAGTAAATACAAATACAAATAATACAGTTTTAGGTTCTTTAAATGATATTTAAACATATTAAAGAACCGTTCTTAAGTTATAAATTTTAATGATTTAATTATGTGAATATTGGGTGATTTAAAATATTAAGAGCTAGAAAAAACTTGTCATCAAACGTTTAACTCCTTAATATAAAGGAACTAAAGTAAAACGACAGTCATTGAAAACAATTTTATTGTATTCTCAAGTAAAATTCCATTTCACAAATATCGAACAGCGATGTGGGTTGAATCAACGCAGCCACTCGCACTTTTCTTGGCTTATCTGGGCAGCTCTTTTCGAAAATAACATGTTTTTCAACCCAAAACAGCATCGCGCAATCTTCGCCTGTGAATAACATTGTTAATGACGCCTGCATTGTTTTTCCTCAAGCTAAAAACAGAGACCACCAGTTACCAGGCGATCGTAGTGCATCGCTACTATAGCCTAAGCATGAGGTAATGAGCGAGGTGAGGTTATCCCGGGTCAGCATCAAAGGCCTTATCAGTGGGAGACATGGCCCCCTGGGGAGCAAATTAACGTCACTGTCGGGAAATCTCATGCCATCTTTTAATCTCTATCTCCGAGTGCTGTGCAGCAATCGGAAATCAGTAATCAGGCTTTCCGATTTCGTCATCCGTCGCATCGTAGAAAAACAATCTGCTGGAAAATAACTTGAAGAAAAGCGTGTTTGATTTTATTGATCAACAACAAAATTATTTGTAAAATACTTTTATTACAGAGCTTCGCAAACATAACCAAAGCTTATTTAAACTGTGGAATTTAGGAGTCTCGCACCAGCAAACCCAGTAATGATCTATTATAAGTTGCTTGTGGCGCTACTTTTAAAAGTACCTGTACCAGAGCTTTCCACACGAAATAGCTACAACTTTTAAGTCACACCCTCTCGCTCGCGCTTGAGCAAGAGCTTTATATCCAAAAAGAACGAAAAACGACATATCCGTGGGCTCGCCAACACGTGCGCCACAGTTCATTTTCGAGATCGGTCCTATATATACATATACTCAAACAGTCCACTTGTATCCAGCAATCAGTGCAGTTTACATTTTCCATAAAAGAAAAGTTCCAAAAAAACTCAAGCAAAAAGGTACTAAACAAGTGAAGAAAAACTAAGAACTTACAAATTTTCCACTACAAATAGTTATTTGCCTTCTAAATTGACTTTCTACAAATCATGCTTCTAAATGATTAATTAGAAAAAAATCTAAGCCTAAGCTGAATACAAATTTTATTTAATTGTCGGCTATTTTTACCAGACTGCAGCCTGAAAAGTCGGGACCTCCGATTTGTTTATGTTTTTCCTACTAATTTATTATCAAAATAAACAAAAATGATTGGCAGCTGATAACATTAAAAAAACGCTTACGCTCGCACACATCGAAAGGGAAACATACACATGGCAACAAGAGGAAGAGAACAACACTTAGGGGGTCAAGTTCTGAATTTATTTTTCCCCATTTTTGCTGATTCAGGCATATAAAAAGGGAAATAAACCGTGATTATATGCAATATAAACTACTTAGCAACAAGTGGTAAGGGTGTATGTCCGTGTGCCCAGAGGCAGGGAAATTTTAATAACTTACAAGAGTAGTAGTGTCTTGCTCCGTTTGTGTCAATTTCTCTCGCAACACAAAGTTATTTTTTCTGATGCAAAAATTTTCGTAGTGCACAAAGTTTTTTTTAAATATGTGGCGGCGCTCTCTGGAATCTCTAGTGTTTTCGATTTCACGAAGATACGTCGCTAAGGAGTGGTGCGTACATTAAATTTGTGAATGTAATACAAAAAGTGGAAGTAAACGAAAATCTCGAAGTAAAAAGAAACAACAGTGATACCCTCGTGACGCGTTTAGTTGTTTGAACAAAAACATCGCATGGCAATGTTTTCGAATTAAATTTATAATTAAATCTTTTGAAATTGTTAGAAGGCGCAGGATCGCCATGAAAAAACTATTATGAATAAAAAACTTTATTTTATTTATTATTACATACATCCGTTCCAACCTTACGGTTATATTAATAATTGAAATGGCTTAAAACGAACAAGAATTCAATTTAAAATAATTTTGAATACAGTTCCATTCAAAATTTAAATTAAATCATTTTAGGGGTTCAGTGAGGGAGCTAAATATATTATGAATGTGCTTAAGGCGAGCTTAAAATCGCTCACTCTAGCATCACCCATATTCTCGTAACAGCTGACGACGGAGTTGCCACGTAATCATAAGTTGACACGGGTGGCAGCTCTTTTTCCTCCAGCTTGCGCATGGTCGCTCACTGGACTTGTGTGTTGAATTCAAATATTTAAATTTATTAAGTGCGTCGTACTAGCCGTGGAAAGCTACACCTCGAGCTACGAAAGCTCCAAATGCGCGAACAGCTTAAACCTGTTATCAGCTCAACGATTATGGCGAGCGTTTTGAGTTGATATGGGAGCAGGGCTGGTTCGAACTTGCTCATTTTCGTTCCAGCAGTGAAGCATTCAAGTTCCGCGAAACGCTGCGTTCCCGAACCCACATATATAGTATATAAATACGTATATGTATTTGCCTCAGAACCGAACACTATGTGTGTGCATTGTATGTGATTTTGCTGTGTAAACAACACTCGCGAATCGCGAAAGCGAACCCGAATCCAGTGTTCCACGAACAACAAGTCTAAACAGTATATAGGCGAAGAAATAAAAAATCACACGGCTGAAAAACCCGTGAGTCATCGCGACGTGGCCGACAGATAATTTCCCAGTGCCGTCGAGACACCGGGGAAGTACCCAAAACGTTCACTCGTCGAGATCACTCCGCTCGTTTCAATCATTAGCGCTGCGCTCTCCGGACGCGGCGGTTGAGTTTCTACGACGCAATTTAAGGGAACAAATAAAAGGGAAGATGAATCAATACTACGACCTGGACAAGGGCAAGAATGTGCTGTTCTTGAACGATGCCAGCAGCACCAGTGGCTACAGCAGCGGCAACTCGCCCACATCCACGACCCAATCTTTGTCACCCGCTCACTCCCCAGCAACTATGGCGCTACAATCCGATTTCGCAAATCTCAACTTGCCAGCAGCAAATTCACCTCAGCAGCCGCAGAATTCACCATACCATCAGCTGTTAAATGGCGGCAGTGGCCTCCTGTTGGATGCAAACTCTTTGATAAATCCTGCTGGCATTGGTACGGCAACGAGTTTCGGCAACATGTACGATCATCCCTACTATGTGTCACCTGGAGGAGCACCCACAGCACAGCAACAATTCGGCTATCAACAGAATGGACTTCCAGCTGGCAGCAGCGACTCCAAACACGTGCCGCAGCTGCGAATTGTGGAGCAACCGGTGGAGAAGTTCCGATTTCGTTACAAGAGCGAGATGCACGGTACACATGGCTCCCTTAACGGCGCCAACTCGAAGAGGACACCGAAAACCTTCCCCGAAGTCACACTCTGCAACTACGATGGCCCAGCTGTCATTAGATGCAGCTTGTTCCAAACAAACTTGGACAGTCCGCACTCGCATCAGTTGGTCGTGCGCAAGGACGAAAGGGATGTGTGCGATCCACACGATCTGCACGTGTCCAAGGATCGGGGCTATGTGGCGCAATTCATCAACATGGGCATCATACACACTGCCAAGAAGTATATATTCGACGAGCTGTTTAAGAAGAAGCAGGATCGCCTCGTCTTCCAAATGAACCGCAGGGAGCTGTCCACCAGGCAGCTGCAGGAGCTGCATCAGGAGACGGAGCGAGAGACCAAGGATATGAATTTAAACCAGGTGGGTGTCGGCTGAGTGAACTGACCCAGTATTGGTAGCCCCCTTCCTCAAAGTCCACTTTACTCACCCACACTCCTTATTTCTTATTAGGTCCGCCTATGTTTTGAGGCCTTCAAGGTCGAAGACAATGGCTCATGGGTGCAACTGGCTCCTCCAGCATTCAGCAATCCGATCAACAACCGCAAGTCCGCACAAACCGGTGAGCTGCGCATCGTCAGGCTTAGCAAGCCCACTGGCGGCGTCATGGGCAACGACGAGCTGATCCTGTTGGTGGAGAAGGTTAGCAAGAAGAACGTAAAAGTGCGTTTTTTCGAGGAGGATGAGGATGGCGAGACCGTGTGGGAGGCTTTTGCAAAGTTTCGCGAGTCCGATGTGCATCATCAATATGCAATTGTGTGCCAGACGCCACCGTACAAAGACAAGGACGTGGATCGAGAGGTGAACGTGTCAATAGAGCTGATTCGGCCCTCCGACGACGAGCGCTCCTATCCGCCGCTGCCCTTCCGCTACAAGCCACGCGATGCGATTGTGTCCCGGAAACGACGTCGCACCTGCTCCACGGCCACGACCAGCAGCTCTGGTAATTCCAGCACCAACAATTCCCTGGACCTGCCCAAGACTTTGGCTCTGGCAGCAGCGCCTGTGGGTGGCCAGCCAAATAACTTTTCTCTTCACGATCAGACCATTAGCCAGGAGTTCGGACGTGACCTGCACCTGATAAGCTTGGAAAAATGCGATTTGGTCAATACTGAGTCCTTCCGTAAGCTTATTGACACCAACTCTGACGAACTGTTGAAGATATGCCATGTGTCCATGGACATGGGCGAGCTGCAGGCGGATGGTCATGGACGTTCGGAGGCAGTGGGCAGGAATCTAACCAGGGATTATCTGAGTGAGATTTTTAAGATCTTCGATCAGGATCGTCGCACGCCGATGGAGGATTCGAAGCGACAAGTGGAGGATCTATTCACGGATCATGCCCTCAAGAACGACAACAATGACACGCTGCTACACGAAGTGATAAGCCACAAGAAGGACAACTTGAAGTTGGCGATTAAGACGATACAGGTGTTAAACTACTTCCAGTTGAAGGAGCTAGCCAACAATGCCTTGAACGCGGACGGGGACAGTGCTTTGCACGTGGCCTGTCAGCAGGATCGTGCGCATTACATCCGGCCCTTGATGGGCCTGGGCTGCAGTCCCAACCAACAGAATCACGCCGGGAACACCCCGCTGCATTTAGCCGTTAAGGAGGAGCGCATCAATTGCGTGGAAAGTTTCCTGAATGGAATGCCACCCGTGTCGTTGGACCTCTCACTGAAGAACGACGACGGGCTGACGCCTCTGCACATGGCCATTCGGCAGAACAAGTACGATGTGGCCAAGAAGCTGATTAGCCACGACACGAGCTCCATCAGTGTGGCCAACACAACGGACGGCAACAATGCCCTGCACATGGCTGTGCTGGAGCAGAGTATTGAGTTGCTCGTGCTCATCTTAGACGCCCAGAATCAGAACCTCACGGATATTCTGCAGGCGCGAAATGCCGCCGGCTATACGCCTTTGGAGTTGGCCAAGCACAAGGCCAACGAGCGAGTCGTCCAACTGCTGGAGAAGGTGTACCCAGAGAAGGCTGATATGGCTATGACCTGGATTCCGCGCAAGGTAAAGGAGGAGATCGACTCGTCCTCGGACGAGAGCAGTGAGGCCGGACAGCTGGAGATTAAATCGGAAGATATGGAGATCAAAACGGAGGACGAGGACTCCATGGAGCTGGACCTGAGCAGCCATAATCGGAGGGATCCGCCACTGGCCGACAGCAAAATGGAAACGTCGCAGGCGAATAAGCTGCAGCTGCTCCTCCAAAACAAATCCATTTATGACCAGCTGAGCTCTCTTCTTAACGAACCCTTGGAACATGGACCGGAACCACATCTGCCCAAATGGAAGCTTCTGGCACGGGAACTTAAGATAATGGCCTTTATGTGGCTAAATGCCGAAGCCTTTCTCGATCACATCCTGGACAATGGCGCCAGCGTGGAGTTTGTAGAATTTACCCGCAAGCTGCAGACAATCGATTCCAAGGCCTATGCCCTGCTGGTTCGGAATTCGTAATATAGCCCATAGAGATTTCCCTCCAATCCGAACCATTGGAAGCCTTTTTTACACCGCACTCCTCAGCGAGAGAGTGCTTTATTATGTATTGAAAATGTTGATCAATAAAATACCTTTAAGTTTATAACTTCTTATCAGTACATGAAGAAAAGCGAATTTTTGATAAGGGTTTTACTTGGAAGTATTCGATTTTGACCCTGATGGTATTTTTAGTCTTCTCGGAATTACAATTTTAACCAATAATTAAAGGGTTTCAGGTTAAAAAAAAATAATTAAAACTATGAAATTGAAGGAAAAATTACACTTTGTATACGCTGAAGAAAGTATCTGTTACTAACTTATTTTTACAACACGTTTTTACATTAAAGTGAAATGAAAATAAAACAGGTGCTTTGTAAATTTTTCACACACAAGCTCATAAATAAATATTGAAAACTAAAGCTAAATAAATAATAATTTCGGCTGCACTTTAATGAAAGTGCAGTTCCTAAGACTTGAGTTATTCTGTGGAGATTCCCCCAAACTATAATTACACAGAAAAAAGTTTTTCTCCGTCGATAGTAAAGAATATACATATGTATGTATGTACATAGACATGTACATATGTACGCATAGGCATAACGCGGCGATTAAAAAGTATATTCTGAGAAGGGGGAATCACTCGCAACAATTTTGCAATAAACAAGCCAGTGTGAATCACCCGATATTCTCATACATACATGGGTGTGTGCGTTGGAGGAGGTGATGTGATCCGGGGAATTACTGCAGCGCAACCGCAGTGTGCAGATTGGCAGGACGGGGATGTACCCAGGGGCCTTATCTCTTTGGCGACATTCTTTCGCATTTATGACCTTGCTTATGATTCTTTTTGCTCTAAAAATTATACTTAATATAATATTATTAAAAAAAATTAATTTAAAAAATCTTAGTAAACTAGTCACTAGTCAAGGTATTTTGTGTACATTCATAGTTTTCAATAAATTTAATTAAATTACAATCTGCATTTTACCCCTTCCAGCAACATGGCGCAACTCATCGATGGCAAGAGCATTGCCCAGGATATCCGCAAACAGCTAACCCAGGAGCTTAAGGAGCTCCTGACCACCGGTTGTCCAGTACCGCATCTAACTGCGGTGATTGTGGGCGAAGATGAGGCCAGCAAGAAGTATGTGGCCAACAAGATGGTCGCCTGCCGAGAGGTGGGAATTTCCTGTGAAACCAAGAAACTGCCCGCCTCCACCACGCAGGAGGAACTGCTCGATGTGATTGCTAAGCTGAACAAGGATCCGCAGGTATCGGGAATCCTCGTGCAACTGCCAGTGCCGGATCACATCAATGAGCGCACCATTTGCAATGCCGTGCATGTGGACAAGGATGTGGATGGATTCAATGAGCAGAATATGGGACGCTTGGCTCTCGACATGGACTCTCTAGTCCCAGCCACGCCGCTGGGCGTAAAACGTCTGCTGGAGCATTTTAACATCGAGACTTTGGGACGCAATGCCGTCGTAGTGGGCCGCTCCAAGAACGTCAGTCTACCGATGGCCATCCTATTGAGCTCTGACGGGAGATATAACACCAAAGCGTTGGATGCCACGGTGACCATCTGCCACCGTCATACGCCGCCCAAGGAGTTGGCCCGCTACTGTCGCAACGCGGACATCATTGTAGTGGCCGTTGGCAAGGTCGGACTTATCACCAAGGACATGATCAAGCCTGGTGCCTGTGTCATCGATGTGGGCATCAATCGCATCAAGGACGAGAAGACCGGAACATTTAAGCTTGTCGGAGATGTGGATTTTGATGGTGAGAAAAAATAACCTAGCTTAACAACACAACATATAAACCTTTCGCCTTTATGCTTGCAGAAGTGCGCCAAGTTGCCGGTCATATTACTCCGGTTCCCGGCGGTGTTGGGCCCATGACGGTGGCCATGCTTCTACACAATACTCTTAAAGCTAGCAAGAAACAGTTCAGCGACCGCAACTCCTGCTGAGATTAGTTCCCATAGTGCCACCGATGAGGAAGATCCAGCCTCTCGCCGGGCGAGAAATAGTATTTTTTGTATTTAATCCGCTAACCTAAAGTAGAGAGTAGAGCTACTGACCAACCGCTAACTTGACGATTGTGGCGCGCACATAATCTTGCATTTTTTGGTATATAAACACAGATAATGGAATCTTGCCTCGTTTGCGTTTGTTTTATGGGCTTGTGGGAACTGTTAACAAAGTCATCGATAATCGCAAAAGCTTAATTGTCTTGTAACTTTTTATTATCACTAAAAATACAAATTACTTGATTTCTATTCCTTTTGTTTTCTATAGTTTACATTGTACAATTGTCGAACAACAAACTTTTAAGCTTATTCTCTAACTGCCACCGGTCGGGCCTATTTGCATCAGTGGGTGGCGGGCCAAAAAGAGAGATAGTTCCCTAATGAACGAGTTTAATCAAGGATTTACCAACTTAGAAAGACCATAAGACACAGATTATTGCCCATATCTCACTTTCATAAGCTAGGAGTACAATGTAATTGAGTGCGTCATTTATTACAAAGTTACGGATCGTTAAAAATATGTTTAATGGGGGACTGTGCATGCTTTATTGCAAAAAATCTTCAGGCAAAGTTTTAGAAGGGATTAGAATCGTAAGTCGGGCTTGTACTTGGCCATGTATCTGAAATGATTTGAAAAAGAGGAGATTAAATTAAATTTAAATAACATCATCATATTTACTATCTAGTCTTTTAAAAGTAATATTTTACTAGGAAGTTCGTAGTAAGCAATTCCTATCCAATACAATACGCACTAATCATTGATTTCTATGTAAATAAATCGACCTCAAAATATAATGAAATTTGATACAAGTCCCATTAAAACATAGTGTAGAGTAGTTAATCACTTACTTGTCTAGCGTTTCCCAAAACTTGCTGAGCACGGCTCGATCCAGATGTCGTTTATTTTGGGAGAGACGCAGTAGCGTCACCGACCAGCGCTCTACATTGGAGTCCAATTTCAGTTCGCTGAAGCACAAGTGAAAGGCGCAAACTGCAAAGGGAAATGAATTAGTAACTTGCAAAAACAATTATGTATAAATTGGACTCACTTTTTGAGAATATCTCAACGGGATTGCCATCCCAGGGCCAGCCCTTAAACTGCCACTGTGGCCCCATAACGAACACGGCCACAACACGTTGCCAGTCCTGTTGCGACAACTTGATGGGATTGTCTATCACCCGGTAAGAAACAGTCTGATTGTTACGTTTACGCTGCGTGGAGGGAATTGAAAAAATTAATTTAACAAATCGATATTAAATTTAAGTTTTAAAAACTCATAACTAAGCCAAAAAAGCATTAATTTTAATTTGGATGCTGATCAAGAATATATATGATTTATAGGGTCGGAAATGACTCCTTCACTTTGCATGCTTCTAAAATCTTATAATGTATACCCTCAAGGGTATAGGAAATAATCCAATTAATTAATTGGAAAGCTTATTTAATTACTATAGTCTAATTCCGACTTAACCTATTGTAAGCAAGTCTTTTATAAACGCAATTCCATCTAAACAAATTGCAAACTTTGTTTCTTGTTACGCACCTGTAACAGCACCTCGCTGTCGCGTTGGCAGCCCTGCAGCTTTTTCTCGGCGGTGGACAGGAAGCGCAGCTCCTGAAGGATATCCTTCACATTGAGCATGGTGATGAGGCTTGTGTTGGCAGACGGTATAATGATGATGGGCGTACGCGAAGGTCGCTTCGTGGGTCCATTCGCGGGCAGTTGTCTGGCCTGCGCCGTCGGGATCAGCTCCTTGGGCCGTCCGGGTACGGCGGCTGCTGCTCCCGGAGGCATTCCCGGTCCAGGTGCCCCTGGCAAACTGGCCTGCGACTTGCGCTGCGCCAGTGAGCCATCCGTCACAGATTTCAGAGACATACCGTGGTACGTACCCAGCGTGTCGATCTTGAAGCCCTCGGTCTCCTCCTTCTGACGATTGAAGCGCTCCTGATCGTAACGATTGTACTGCGACAGCTGTGGTTGCGGCTTGGCAATCCTTGCCGGTTCCGGCATCTTGATGGGATTGGGCGCCTGCGGTCGGTTGCGTCCTTCCTCCCGAGCTTTTATGCCCTGCAGCATGGCGAAGATGTTCTTGGCAAAGATCTTACCGGTGCTCTGTAGGATGGAAGTGCGCGTGCGCCACTGACGCTCTCGGCTTATGATATCCTTTGTGGAGTCCACGTCGTAGTCGAGAATGGCCCGCATATCGGTGCCCATTGTCTCATCGTTGTCCGTTCGCTTGATGGTCGTCCGCTTGTTGGCCAGACGCTTGGCCTTGATGGCTGCAATTTTCTCCACGGACATCGTCTCTGACAGCGACTTGATGTTGTCCATATTGACGGCCGTCTCCTTTTGGTTTACATCCCATCGTGCCGCCAGTTGCTCGCGCACCTTCTGCACCTGCGTCTCCTCGAACCGTGCCTTCTTGGCGGCTACCTCACCGCTTGAGATTTCGCCCTCGGCGGCTCGCTTCACCTGCGTCGGGATCTCGAGCGGGGCGCTCTTGTCGATGCTGGCACAGGTCGGTGTCTCGCCATTGAGGTAAGCCAGCAGCTCCTTTCGATCCGGACGATTCACGGCGGGTATATCCTCTGCAGCGCACTGCCGGACATACACAGAGTGCTGGAGCATCACATTCTTGAGCAGGTACAGCAGGCACTCCAGCGTGTAGTACTCACGTGGAGCGCCCTTTTTTCCGGAGCTAAGGGTTTGCGTATTTCGGTGAAGAGGTTATAACTGCCGGAGGATTGGGAGGAAGAGGAGCTACTCACCCATATTTGAGATAGTTGGTTTTGACACTCTTCGGCCAGGAGAATTCGCCGAAGATGATTTGGCTGTCCCGCTCCACGATCTCCTTTTTGTTTATGTTGTACTGCCGCAGCAGACTCAGTGGATCCGCCATCTTTTGGCCGCTCTTCTCTTATGCCTGGCACTTCGCGAATCGGTGGCTAGTGGGGCGGTGCTCGACCCGCTACTGCTGAGCACTTTACGTCCCCGGTTAAGCTTATTAAACACGCTCAGTTCTCACGATTTATGGCATATTTTTCGCGTAGTTTTCTTTTGGCAGAGGTTGGGTGGAGTGTTACCACCTGGCTTGCGAAAGGAAAATACCATAAAAGCCGTCGAGTTAAATACCGCAAGTATATATCGCGTGACTTGAAAGAAACTATCGCGTGAAAGTCACAGTTTTTATTATATAGCGTGACAGTTAAATCAATTGGTTTATTTTTCTTTCGAGAAAATTATTAATTTATTAGGAAAAAAAACATTTGCAATCAGTCAATCAATTGTGTTTAGTAATGTAAAATATTAATTAATTGTGATACAAAGCTATATTTCTTCACCGATATCTGCTACTATCGTCGGCTTTTGCATTAACGCGTTAGCACATTACTACAAAACGCGGTAGTACTTGGCGAGTGCGAATATCGAACTAAAAAAGCCGTGCTGACCGGCAGCCTCTCCATCTTCAAAAAAAAAAAAACAATTAAAACAAAGCTTTAAAAAATTCATCACAATTAACGCCCATGATTTCGGTAGTAAGTTCACCCGCCAGAGCACATGATCGGTTACCGGGACGGGACGCGAGACAAGCTGAGTTTCCATAAGCTGCGGCCACGTGAAGAAAGAAAAGGAGAAAAATCCAATGCCAAAGAAGTTGTGAATGTGTGTCCTTGTTGTTGTTGATTCTTGTTGTGCCTTTTGGGAAGCGAAAATACGCAAACTTGTGATTACTACTAAGCAATGGGTCAGTCGGCTGGTAAAATAGGTAAGTTGCACAGGCTTCATTTTCGCATAAATAGCACAATAAACCGGATAAATCTCCCAGGGGTAATAATAAATGGGTAATTGCCACTAAATAGACTGGAATGACAATATTAATTCCAATTTCAAATGATATCAATGAAACCTGCAAGCCAAGCTTGTTCCCAATATTCCAATAGGGTTTGTGACCTTCCCACCAAACACACACACACGCACATGTTTGTGGAACAGCTGTTTCCCTAGCGATGACACTCGGTCGCTTCATTTCCGCGCTCTTACCGATAGTTCTGTAATTATTATACAAGTGTAATGTTACTAATGCTATACTTTGAACTAAAATGTAAAAATTCCCAGAGTTAAAAATTTCACTTGCAATATTTTGAGTTTACGATTCAATATTTAAATGAGCTAAATAATTATAATACGTATTATATTATAATAATAATAAATATAATTGGGTATTTATTTCTAACTCATGGTCATGGCCAAAACAATCTTTAATAACATAATATGTATATTAGATATCAGAAAACCATTAGTATTAGTATTATTATACCCTTGCAGAGTAATTTTTAGTCAGAAGCTTGTAAAGCTGTGAAGAAATCATTTTCGACAGGATGAACAGCCGAATCTTTTTACCCATCTCAGGCAGAAACAATTTTTTTTAAATAAATTTTTAAATCTTAAATGGAGTTTGCATATTTATTATTTATTATGAATTTTATTTTAGTTATGAGTTTTTTTAACTAAGATTTGTTGAAAAATTTTTCTATAAAAATATTGATTAGTTATATATATTATACAAATATATGTATATAGGTATATATTTTAAGCTTAGTTACAGTCGTTTATGATTAGGATCGATCCTATAACTCAAATGCAAACTGCAAGGGTATATACATACTTCGAAGTTAGTTTCGTTTCATGTTTTTAATTGATTTTGATAGATCTGAAATAATAAAACATATTAGGAATATAAATAATTCATGTATTTCTTTAGTACACAAATACAACCAAGATATATTTCTTTACTTGTATATAATGTCTTTTCTCTCTCATACCCTATATCAAAACCTTATTTAAAGTCCTATTTCATAATATAAATAGCTAATTTAATAATTTTGCGAGGGGTACTACAGATTTTCTCATGCTTTATTAAATTTTTTATATGAAGTTACATACTTAAAGTAATATTTTCTCAATTAATCTGGGTTCCGCTGCAACATATAAGGACATCAAACCTTTAAGCTGCTTATGTGCCAAAGAAGTCAAGAATCAGTTTTAAAAGAAATCTTTATAAAGGGAAGAGTAAAGATCCTTTACCCATGAACTGGGCCCATCTAGGGAACTTCAATTCTCATGCAGGCGCGAACTTCAACTCACCTTTACAGGTGCACTGAACGGAGAGGATTTACCTGCTTACCGCATCATCATCATCTAAGTCTCTGAGGGTCTCCATCAAATCGACGGAATCGGCTTCGATTCCTGCAGCTGTAGACAATAAATTATAGAGTTTATGGCAATGATTTCTCACAAAACGGTCGCAGAAAAAGGACGAAGGAGGTACAAAGGCACAGGAGAGGATAAGAAAACCCCAATAGGAGCTCGGTCAGGTCAGGTAGGGAGATAGCCGAACCGAACCGTAACCTTCTTCTGACCCTGAGACAAAGACACATGCTGTGGGCCGAAAACCCGCCAGGACCTTCGCTCGCCCGCTCGCTCTCTATGACTTGCCAAATGTCCTGACTGTATCTGGTTATACAGACGGGGGAGTTTTCCGCTTTTCCATTTTACAGGCGGGAAAAAACTGCAATGTGAAAACTGTGAAAGCCGAAACCCCCCGTAAAAGGCAAACATTTGGCCGGCAGAACCAAGGATTCTGTCTATTTAACGGATCGCAGCTTCCCTTAGCGCATGTGTTGCATTTGGCGGTTATTCCTCATCGTCGATGTCGATATTTGATTAGCGTATGCACACGAGGATGCGGAAATGGGAAGTGAATATGGACGAAGATGAGAGGATGTGGAAGTTGAAGTTGCCAAATGCATCCCCGAATCTCAAGCGAGTTTGCTTTTGTTAGATCTTGATCTCAGCGCTGCAGACAAACCAACTGCTGTCGCAGGTATCCCAAAAAAGTGGAGGAGTATACCTACAGAGCATGCCTATAGAATAAGTCATAGTTATAGGGAAGACACTGTCTTTACTCTGGGTTTACCTTGATTGATATAAATCTAGTATCTTTCCTTATGAACAAATTGAAATATGTTCTTAAATTATATCTGTGATCCTCCCAATCATAGCTCCAACAATATATAATTTATAACTTATGATATGTCTAAATCGATTTCTTCAGCTTGTCCTGTCCGCATGTCCTGCGATCCCTTGAGACAGAGAATACATACAAATGGGTACGCCATCGTCTTCAATTTTCGATTCTTCAGTTTCTCAAGTGCTTGCGCAATTCGATTTTGGGTTCCTTCTCCTCGGGTTCTCCTTTGTGTCCGTGCTGGATTAGTTCGGGTTCATACATATATGTTTGTACATATATGTATATATGAAACTCCACAACTGCTCCTTGTCGAGCTGAGCTCCTTATTTTTCCTGCCTGAGTCCTTTCCCTTTTATTTTATTTTCCTTTCGAGCTACTCCCCGTTTGCATATGTCGTTTTCTAATTAAACATTGGCATTTGCTACAGTTTTTACTTAATTATGTGTATATTGATCGGCTATCGGCAATCGATGTGGAGAGCCATAGAATTCTCAGCTGTCTTTCTTTCGACAGCTGCCAATTCCTTATATCGTCTTGGTTATTTACTAACCGCGTCTTTTTCCGTTGATATAATATATTTTGTTGACTATTCTATCTATTTTATTGTACTTATCTTTGGCCCACTTTGACAGTGATTAACTTATGGAAATTATTTGTGGTATTCCTTTTAATTTCGCTTTTTCTTCAATTCAATTTTAAACAATTTAATTATAGCTGCAAATGTATATTTATTTTGTGTTATCTATAAGCAGATAAAACTTTATCGGAATTAAAGGTGCCCCAAGGTGAAGGTAGCTTCTATACATTTTCTTACACCTCGATCATGAAGAAGGTTTTATGCGATAAGGAAATTTGTGTGTATGGAAATTGAATCAAACTACAATTTGTGTATATCTTTTTTTTTCTTTTTGTTGTATTTTTGATTTTTATTAGGTCATTTAAACGGCGTGTGATATGTTATCACTAATAAGGTGGTACTTCCAGAAATCAGAAATTCTTCAAGACTTGTAGTACTTTGATTTTATTTAGTCTGCGGTTTGTTATTGATCACCATTTTCATAAAGATAAATTAGAAATTCCTTTAGCTACAGTATTTACTCTTAATGATGAGAGTGAATTTAATGAGTTTAGGGAGTATGAATTCTAGGATTACACTCTTAAATATCTGTCTAATAAAATTTAGACTTTAGACGATGATCTCGTACAATAGATTCTTATTTAGGAGCCTTTACTGGCGGACCTTATACAAATATTTAAAAAATGATTTTAGAGATTCTTAAACAAAATGGTATTACTTATAACCAGAGAATTCTTGACATGGCCAAGAAACTCTAAATTTGTAAACCCTTTATAACAACGATTTTTCTTCCTTAACTCCTCTATTCACTTGCCGTGCAAAATGATCGTTTGGCATTTTCATTAAACGCCTGCCTAGGTCAATTCTCCATAGACGACGATTTCGTATAGCAGCAGGGATCCTTGGGTTAAGGAACTGTCGGAAAGGTAAATCGCTGTGACATCTTTGGGACAATGGTCAAAATACAACAATTGAGTACTGTACAGAAAGTAAATGCGGGTCTCAGCAGAAAACAACGATCCCCGAAGAAGACGGGCAAAATATATGGATGTGTGTGTATCTTAAGCCAGATGTTCGTGGGAGACCGAAACGTAGGACGATAAAATTGCACATTTTACCACTGGATCTTGGGGGCACATGTGCCAAATTCTAAATTTAAACATTAAAAAAAACTCTAAAGGGAGCAAACAAACATCTTGTAGATACACGAGGAGTATCTTCTCCCCCATCGAGGCGACAAATGCAAATGGCAGCAGCTGTCTTTTAGTAAATATGAATATATATAAAAATAAATAATCGTAAATGGAGTTTCGAATCGATCCGAAGAAGTAGAGCAACCTTATCAGCCAGGGCAACTGGCGCACGTCTCCCTTTTTTTATTTTTTCCTCCTTTTTTTGTTTTTTAACCTGGCACGTGGTTGGCTGGCTTCCTCTGATGCCTCCTCCAAAAAGAAAAAATCCCTTTCTGTATCTGTCTCTTTTGCTATGAATTTACACCTGGAATTGGCAAACAAACAAACAATTCGAGATCGGCGGACAGGGGTAAGCTAGGGGATAGCAAACCCTTTCTGCAGGACCTTTTCAGGTCCAACTGCAACCGCAGATGGGACACCTTTCGTACAGTGGATATCGTGTAAAGGTTCCTGATGTGGCATTTTTTATACATATATTTAAGGGATAGAGGAAAACCTCTACTAAATAAACTAAAGATAAATTTGATAGTCTTTCATTATAATATTTTTGTAATTTTAAATAGATTTTTGAAACGTTTTTTTTTTTATAAGTTTAGGGGAGTACACTTTCAGACATATTTAAATAATGCTTTCCTAAAACCATATTTAAATTGTGTGCAAAAATACAAATATAATCGAAACAATCAAATAATGTATCTTCTATAAAGGTTAAGTTCTTCCTGAATTGTGTCCTTTAGCCAATATCCACTGTATTCCTTAACAGTTTTTTGGGGTAGTTCGCTGGTTTTTCGCTCGTTTCGCTGCACAGTGTTTGCCAGCTCCGGTTCCTGTTCCTGTTCCTGGGCCAAAACAACAACCTTTTTTGCATTTTCGCATTCGCAAAATGTGAGTTGTATGCGAGGGAGGGGAGCGAGAAGGGAAAGAAAGGGAACTCGGGTAACAGGAGCAGCAGATGTATTTCCAGG